CGGCATGCTTAATCGATAAAATTGCAATAACATTACATCAAACATAAATTTTCCAGATATAAGGGGGCGAAAAAATGTTAGTATATATATGTCTTGTCTCGCCTCTATGACGTTATGGAGGCGTGCTCTTTCCAGTGGCGTCGGCGGCGTCAACATTTTTCATATATTTCATTACCTCATTTTATCTCCACTTTATTCATAAGAGGTCCGTTGTATTCATTTGTTTTGCTAAAAATAAATGTCGCTTATACTAGTTGTTCTCTCACTTAATAATACAAAATTTGGTGACTATGTTGAACGAATCTGTCCCATCGAACTAGAGATAAAGGATATAAATTGACAATGAGGGTCAGTTGAAAACAAAACTTTACGACAAAAGAGATGATTTCAGCTTCCCAATTGTGAACCTTCCATTTCCATGTAGCAACATTCCAGCAGCGGCTGCATACGGAGTATATATCTCCCAATTGATACGATATCCCCGGGCTTGTATATTTCCTATCATGATTTTCTTGATAGAGGATTGCTGCTCACAAGGAAGTTATTAAACCAAGAGTTCCAAATGGTGAAGTTGAAATCATCCCTTCGTAAATTTTACGGACGCCATCACGAGTTGGTTGACCTTTATGAAATAACCGTTTCACAGATGATATCGGATATGTTCCTTATGTCGTAACTACCATACCCGTCCCTTTTCACGAATGTGACCTACCGAATTAGACTATTTACCGTATTTGTAATAACATAAGCAACACGACGGATGCCACATGTGGAGCAGGATCTGCTTACCCTTCCGGAGCACCTGAGATCACTCCCAATTTTTGGTGGGGTTCGTGTTGGTTAGTCTTTAGATTTCTTTGTTGTGTCATCTGTACTATTATTTGTCTGTTTGTCTTTTCATTTTTGGCCATGGCGTTGTCAGTTTGTTTTCGATCTGTGAGTTTGACTGTCCCTCTGGTATCTTTCGTCCCTCTTTTATAATTCATATTTCATATATTATCGGTTTAAATCGAAGAATCATCATCATATGCGTATTAAATGACGATTTTGACATCAATCACGATTTTGTGAAAATTGTTTAAAATTGGATTTTTTTTAATTTTTTTTTGATAAATTCATTACGAAAAACTTCATAAAATATGCATCACGTTTGAAATAGAAATACGTGTTCTTGTGCTGCCATTGTTGATTTTTAATATTTGAAGGTAGAACGGGGTCTAAATTATTAATTGTTTATTGCAGAATGCTGCAAATGATCGATTCAAAATTTTTACTATTATTGTTAGTAAGACTGAATGATGTTTAAAAGAAATTAATTTGTGAAATTTTCATTAAAAAAAGAATAAATAATGAGCTTTTCTTATGGTTATATCTTTTTCATTAAAAGAAAAAGGTTTCATTGATTAAAATTTTTAAATCATGATTGTTTTATAAGGCAAATAATCCAGAATGTTTATAATTTATTTTATAAAGGAATTTACAATACATTTACCTATTTTGTGATGAAGTAAGAAAACGAGAATGGGGATTCCGTTTTGTTATTTTGCTTTCGGAGAGCACATTATAAGAGCTGTCCTCTCATATATATATATCATTTAAAACTCTATCTTTTAGTTTTCTTTATATTCGCCTAAATGTACATTTCCCTGTATAATCCTTTCAAAATCAGAACATTTTTCCCAAACGTTTAAAAGTTCTAAAAAAAGGTCGGCGATCCATATTTTTTAATATGTTTTTGAAATTAAAGCATTTTGGCAAAGTATGAAAAACTCTACCCCTTTTTATATAGACCTAAATAAAGCTACATCAACTGATATTTGACCAACCGCAGACTGAAACCGATTTTAAAAAATATACTCATTTTGTTGTGACAAGATATACATTATTTTAATAACTACTTTCGTAAATATACATGGATCAATGTTTTCTGAAAGGAAGTACTATGGACCAGGAGTTCATTTCATGTACGTTTTATACTATGAATTGTTTTTTTAGCGCTTCCAATTTTAAAATATAACTGGGTTTTGGTTAACACTAAATGTTCTTTGACATTTTTAGACCGTTTTCAAACGGGTTATTTTCGGGTTTCGGGTTTCGGGTTTCGGTTTGAGTGTTTTTGATTTTTTAACAAGTATAAAAAGCAATATTCAAGCCATTTTTGTGACGTTCTGCGAAGAGAAAAAATAAATCTACTATACACAAAAATGAACTTTTCCACACAATAGATTGGTTGATTGATTTATTTGTGTTTAACGCCAAATTCAGCACGATTGGCTATTTCGTGGCGGTAAATTTTTATTGTTGAAGGAAGCCGAAGTGCTCAGAGAGAACCACCGATACACACAGCAGACATTTTGTAGTTGATTGAGTGGTAAAAAAGGAAACTATGGTGTCAATTTGTTACAAATACAGAGTGTTTAATGCAGTATATTTATTGTATTTAATATTCTTTCTTTAGTTTTTCTATAAATTGGTTATGCATGCAAACAATGATGTACTTCCGAAAAAATATACGCTTTCAAAAAATATGGATAATAATTGTTTTTTTGGAAGATGTGGGGTAGAGCGCATGGTGACTTTTTTCTAAATGGAGCTTAAACTAGGTTAAAATGTACTTGAAAGTGTCTTTAAATTATTACACTGGACCTGCAACATACATAGTTGCGTGCTATCCATCATATGTATCGGACAGCTATTACCCTAACACTCAAATTAATGTAAAAGACAACTTTCAATTAATATTTTAATACTCGTCCATCGCATGCTTATGTAGCAGTAAAATCTGTCGGAGATTCTAGACAACAAACTCCATTATGCCACACATTACTTCTAGAAGTAACATCCTTCTTCTTCATACATATGTTGCTAAGTAGATGATAAGAGATTGTTCTACTCACAGTAAACATTTATATATTTATACTACTACATGGAGCTAAGAATACAAGTACAGAAACAAAATCCCGGCTCTGCAAACTGGCTAGTAAAATTGATTCACATATATAGTTCCGATTCTTTAATTGCAACGTTAGGAATTAAGGTCAGGGTGTATAGCTTGGGTTTGAGTCGTTTATAATCTGGCTAAGGGAAAACAATAAGATGAGCTCATTTTTGAATGCATTTCATTTTTACTGTATGTTCTTTTACTAAAAGTGAGACTGTGATCGTAGGTGAACTTGTCTCACATTTTTGGCCTCGGAGCCTGGTCTTTGTCAAGCATCCGAGTTAAATATTTTGTCGTGTTTAAATTATTTATACAATGTAGATCTAATTGGATGCATATTTAAACAAGAACTTTATTTAATATAGATCAGATCATTTCATAAAATTAATTGTATGCCAAATATGCAAAAAATATATAGTTTAGCGTTATCATGACGTGAACGTCAAATTACAGTTATGGGGATTTGTTATTGGACATCTTAGATCGTTTCGTATTTTATACCTGCAGCTCAAACAAAAATATATATCACATCATTTTAGAAGAAATGAAATGTATTTTCCGTTCATATCGGTTAAAGGGTGTTCAAAATTGGGGATCAAATAAAATTTCGTTTAATAAACAGCCTCTGGGTTATTCTATGCGTCATTTTATCCATCGGGACATTTTATTGGACACGGGTTATGGATACCTATAACATAGAAAACAACAACCAACGTCTTAAAACACATCCAGTATATACCAGTATAGATCGTAGTTATGCCGATTGTCCGACGAATATCACTTCAAACAACTAAAACCGACGAAAAATAGAAATCGTCTCAACCCTTCTGACCATATCTTTTTATAACTTTTATGACGGTTTGAATATGATTCAACATGTATCTTAAACACTGCTTCTCTATGCGCGCTTAATATGAAACCTTACACGCACATCGTTAAAAGTTAGATACAATTTCTATTTGCATGCGGGAAAAAAAAAGAAGGTATGATAAGCCATTTGTCATACTGTTTGACGGATACAGCCAAATAGCCAAACTTCAAACCAAAGCTTAGAAATGTGGATTCACTAACTTTCGTGTGTATCAATTTTCGTGGATTAAAAAAATATGTATACCTGTGTATACTTGATTTCGTGGTTTTGCCAACGTTTTCAAACAATAATATTAGAATTTATGATTCATTGATCATCTGAATGCGTTTGACACGAAATCCTGGACAATTTGACGAAATCAATAATAGTGAATACACAATATCTATGAATGAATTTAGCAAACTAATGTTTAAATAATTAGTGGTAGCGAAATCCCTGACTTAATATTTTTAGCTATATAATGTTATAAACGCGAAACATTCATTAAACCCTAAAACATCACTACATACATGGACATAGCGAATGAGCTGGGAAATATATACAACTTCAGAAGGGGTCAAAGGAAAATCACCGTCCAAGAAAGAAAAATTAACAATAGGGAAAAACATCATCTTTTTTATGTAAACTTTTGTATAGAGTTTATCGTATCCTGATATCAACAAAGAAGATATTTTACATATTCTCCTCTGTTATAATACATCAATTTGTCTTTTAGACCAAGAGGATATAATTTCTGAAGTTGTTTAAACCTATAGCGGATTCTTCTGTCTCTATATTGCAGATATTTCCTGATCTTCATTTGCTTTTTACTCTTTTTTTGACTTTTTTCAATTTATTTTTTCTGTCGCAAAAATCAGAAACTAACAATAAATAGAAAAAGCAAAATAAAAATTAAAAGACAATAAAGATTAGTAAATATCTGCAGTATAGGAACAGCAGAATTTGGTCTTGCCTAAAGCTGGACAGCCTACAGATTTTACAGTGATCTTCAAATTATTAATGTGTTTGTACTGGTTGTTTATGAACGTTTCAAAGAGACAGGCACTTAATCAATTCAATATTGTGCCAAAGTTGTTCTAGATGCTGGTAAATAAACATTATGAAACAGGAAGCGTTTAAATTATTTGTCTAAATATACATATGTCGTACCTTATATATATATATTTATATATGTTATATTGTTTTTAGTTATCAATTGGTTACCTGTCTTTGTTGCATACAGCGGAAATGAAATGTCTGTTTACACAGCGTGGGCAAACCAGGAGGAATGTAATGACCTTCTAACACCACTGAATGTAGCAGTAACTACACGACATCTTAGAAATCCACTTATAGATAGGTGGAGTGATGTAAGAATACGAAAGGTGAGCCATAATTCTTTGCAAACAACAATAAATGTTGATTCTTCAAATATTTTGCCAGTATACAATTTCCATTCTCAATTTTAATGTTGTATCAGCTGCTTGTTATTTGCTATCATTTGGAATATTGCATTTAGATATGCAATACATGTACATTGTAGGAAATATGAGATTTATTTGTAAAAGCTTTAGAAACAGGAAGAAAAGAGAGACTATCCAATCTTTTCTCCTGTATTGTTGTGAATACAAATATTTTATTCTGGCTATGTGTACGTATTTTGTTTTTGTTATCTTTCATTGACGTCTAAATGTTTAGTGTTTTATTCTTAACCATTGTCTAACTTTTTGATAGAATGGATAAAACGCGGACTGCGAAGAGTAACATAAAATGATAAGATGAACTTTGAGGTAGTAAAGCACTTCGGACGGATAAAATTTATAAAATGTTGTTTTCATTTAACATTACCGTTCGCTCAACATAGAAACAGGGTATACCATGAAACTTTATGTTGGTCTATATTATTATCAAACAAACAAGAAATTGAACAGAATTGTTTTCGTTAAAAACTTATCTTAGTTTCTTTATATCTTTTGGCTCTTTCATTAATGGTACATGTAAACATACCTAATCCAACGAATTTGACCTTTGGTCTACAGAATAATATCGGGAAGGATTTCAGTTTAGAAAAAGAAGATGTCGTATATGTCGTGACATCTAAACTCTTATGTCGTATTTACATATTGTGCTTTTTGTTTAACTTAGGTTAAAGTTGAACTGTTTAAGAATAACACAGCAGTTGTATGGATGATATTCAACGGTGAGAATACAAATGAAGTAAACTGGTTCATGAAAGAGAACCTACTGAGCAGCAGTTTTAACGATCTGACAACAAGTTCTACAACTATCTTCTTCGACATAAAGGGTGACTGGTAATGTAGGAAATGTTTTTTGCATAGAATATTTAAACCGTATTTAGTTTTAGTGAATAATGATTCTCGGTTTTATAACATGGTGTTATTCATACAGTTGTGATTGGATATGCAGATAAGGTATTTTGGCCGCTAATATCGTTTCAATAAAAGTTGAGTTGAAATTGAAATTCAGTGAAAAATTTGAAAATAACATTTTTTTTTAAATGACACTGAAAACTGCAAATATCTCTGTAAAAACGAATTAATCTGAAAATAAATATTATTGGTTTCTAGCCGAAATGTGTGTATTTAATTTATCGTAATGGTAGCGCCTATCAAAAAGTATACTGATTTATTTAAATTAAAACAGGACTTTAATTAGCATCATAGGAAGTACTTATTTATTTCATTGTGTCGATTTACCTGACTTACCTGAATGGTCGTTAGGCAAAGTCGCTTGTTGATTTGTATCTGGAAGCCCTTGTTATCCACTTGTCTTGGAGTACATAAGTCAATTTCGACAGTGAGTCCTGTTCTTGAATAAAAGTTGAAATAACCTAGCAAACATCCCAGCTTGGAGCTTTCCTTGTGGTACGGTAAATCGGACAAGGTCATTCAGAAATTGTTCTTATTAATAAGCCTCTTGAAATTGGAAAGATTATTCAAAAGTGATTCCTCCATTATTTCTAGAGCAGCAAACCTCTTATCAAGTCTCGTTTGGTATTCTGTGTTCGATGTCCCTATGCTGATGTTTAGAGGACTCTGGACTTAGCTACTTATTACATCTACCTGATTGGAGTCGGAAACTCCAATTCGTCAATTATGCCTTTAAAAAGCTTTTAAAACAGGCCTTCCATGTGTAGAAAGTTGGATAGCCATGAGGGCATAAGCCGAGTTTGAACTTTAAATTGTGCTGCATTTGTAGTAGGAGAAATAGTTTTTGTGTAGGAACTTTATTTTTGGTGATGAAAATTTGTAGTCTGCTGGAAAAAAAAATGTTCAAATGATGGTTGAAAATAAAATTGATGTCCAGATGATGGTTATTGATGACATTAGGATTTATAGGCACACAACTTCAAGAATATATTTGGATATGTTGTCATCTTTCTCTTCACATGGGTTATCATCCGATCAAATTTACTTTGGTAATCATTAGATGTCTATAGTTCAAAAGATATTATCCGAAATCCTACATTTCAGTCTTTTAATTGCTAGTGTGACCTTGACCCGTGGTCTAATTACATCAAAATCAATAGTGGTCTACTTCACACAAAGTTGCATTATCAAGTAGCGATGTGATTTTTGAATCAAAATATATTGTTCAACTTCAAAAACAAAACTTTTCCCAAAGTTATTGGTTATTGATAGACAGTGTTACCTTGATCTTTGATGCACTTATTCCAAAATTAATAGGGATGATGTTTCTTCTAATAGACATTGTCAAGGTAAATTTTGCGAAGGTTGGATATATGGTTCAGAAGATGTCATCCGGAAACCAAATTTCAGTGTACCAAATGCTGTCGTGACCTTAAACTTAGATCTAGTGACCCCAAAATCAATAGATGTCTCTTTTACTTTACCTCATTAGGCATTTCAATCCAAGTTTAGTTAAAATGTGAAATTACAAGTAAGAACAAAACATTTTTTATCCGGAAACGGAAATAGTAACGGCATTTATCATTTGATAAGCCGACTCCGACTGCGTTGTTTTGTTCCAATTAAGTGTGTACGACGAAAGGCTCCTACGGACCTAAAGGATGAACAATTTTAACGTCCGGACATTTGTTAATTTATTGTGACATATATATCGCTTTGAACGTCATTCTTCGTGAAACAACTTATAAGACTTAGTGTACATTATATACCGTGAAGCAAAAATGTTGATAATGTTAAATAGACGCACTCTATTTGATTTTTTTTATTTAAACACATTCGTGTTTGCATCAAAAATATTCATAATCATTTGCAAAATTAATCCCTGAAAATGTGAATTTTACAGGGGTCTTGAAAGACAATTTTTCATCAATCGTTACTATGATAGTTGTGTTACGGATGGTGGATGGTTTGTTGTGTGTGGGAAGAAACAAGCGTGTGCATGGGAGAAGAAAGGAGTTTTCCCAGTTTTTCTTTATACCAAAAATGGCTTTAGCAGAACTTGGCATACTTGTATGTTTATTCAGTTTATTCAAATATGAATAAAAGTAGATAAACGTCAATGAGATGACAACCCAACGATAAAATTAGCCAAAAGATATCTAAAGGGTAATATACAGTCTTCAACAATAGACAGGTGTATACACGATATGACAAGCTCTAAAGTGTCCAGGGTTTGTAAAGGCTGTGACTAAACCAACGATCAATAAAACATAAAAGCATACATAAATGAAAATGACAGTATTTTATGCTTTAGTGCGTTATACCTAAATAATTCGTTTCTTTTTGCCATTAGGAAGATAAAATGTGATACATGAATTAACACCCCATCTCCCTCCCCATAGTCCTCCTTGATATGACATAGTTCTAGCGATAATAATAATAATAATATATATGTATCATCCCAAGACGATTTATCATAAAGAAAACTTGTTCAAATTCCCACCCTTCTCGTCATTATGGTACCTTTTTAGTGCTTCACGGGGTCATACACCTCCACCTTGGCATTATTAATTGTTCAAAATATTGAAAATGTTTTTTAACATATATATTCGTTCTTTTCATAACAAGACCTTTCCGGAGCTTCACAAATTTGGTACCTAGTTGTCGTGACCAGCCCCTTGTATTGTATATTGTTTTAAAAATATATAAACACAACAGTTAAGATCACACTCATTAATATTTTTATTTGCCATGTCTATACATTCCCAGTACTAGAATGTGTATGTTATGCCTTTCCTTTACTAATGTGACTAATCTATATAAATTTCAATAGTTCCACCGTGTACCGTTCTGAATTCGATATTTTGTTCATCTGTTTATTTTGTTTTTTTATAGACTCCGCAGAACCAGCAGACAGGATGGTTATTTCAGTTGGAATATAGCTGAACATATTTGATTTTTCGTATCATTTGTAAATGTGAAATAAAAAGTAAAATCACAGATTTTGACAGTATTCATTCTCTTTAATCAGATAAGTTTGATAATGCCAGGACAAGGTTAGATAATGGTCTTACTTTTCACTGAACTTTTAGTATTTTATACAAAATTTCCATTGATGTTTTTTTTTTAAAGTTTAGATAATATCAAAGAGTAAAAAGGTATCGATAACGATCCATTGCGTTTCAATTTAAGCAGTTTACGTGATAGAACGCTCAATCTTTAGCGTTTTCGTAAAACTACATTAGATTTTGGTAGATTTTCGTGAATATTAGGTAAATATACAAGAACCAACTGAATAATTTATTGAACTATTTGTCTGGTTGAGCAACACCTTTCAACATATAAGCTGATATCTCTTGCATGCGTGCGATATTTTGCAAATACCTATCAAAACTATCAAATAATCTACAGATTATGTAGTACTTCGTTTCCGGGGGGAATGGACAACTAACATAGGCTTATAATCCTTCAGTACAAACGAGACAGAAGACATAACAAAAAGTGTAGAAAAACTACAATACAATGGCAAAAATCGACGAAAACAACGAAAAGCGAAATAAGTTCATTAAACAATACATGTATCAATGCGCGAATGCTCTGTAAAGGCAGTTACCTACAGGTTTTGTGATTTTATAGTCCAGATTGAATATAATCAAACATACTTATATTACTTTTCAGGAAAGGCTAACAATATCAAGATATTTAGGCATTTTTCAATTATTATTGCATGGAAATTGTAAGGGTACAATGCATTTCCAAAGAACATATTATTGCACGAGTATATTAATGCACGAATAGCTTTTAATTTAAATTTGTACCAGCTACAAAGCAACTTAGAATTGACTTTTTTGAAGAACCAACCAGGTTGTTTTTTATTTATAGAAAAAAAAGTGCATTTTAATATTTAGGGTCAATTTTGGTTTTCATTATTTGTGGTTATTCATATCTCCAGTTTAAAAAAAAAACATTCCAGTTCACCACGATGTCTTTGTGAGAAATTTAACTCAAAACATTGAGTTATATAATGCCTCTCGAAGTGTCCACTCTTGCCAAGAAAATCCTTATTTTTCAAAAAATTACTCTGAGCAAAAAAATTACTGACCATGCCAGGTCACCATATATTGTCTGTGATTGTCAATGTCCAACTCCGAGAAAAAAAATTATACTACCATATTTTTGTTACGTATGTAAATATAAATAAGAAGATGTGTAATGAGTGCCAATGAGACGACTATCCATCCAAGTCACAATGTGTAAAAAGTAAACAATCATAGGTCAAAGTACGGCCTTCAACAGGGAACCTTGGCTCACACCGAACAGCAAGCTATAAAGGGCCCCAAAATGACTAGTGTAAAACAATTCAAACAGGAAAACCAACGGTCTAATCTATATAAAAGAAAGAAACGAGAAACACTTATGAACCTCACCAACAAACGACAACCACTGAACAACAGGCTCCTGACTTATGACAGGTGCATAAAAATGCAGCGGGTTTAAACGTTTTAACAGGCGCCAACCTTCACCCAAACCTGAAACAGTGGTATAACATTACAACATAAAAAGACACACAATAAAATAAGTCTAGTAGAAGGATGTCAACTTGCTTCAGATAGTGATTCAAAGTATGGTTGGATTATAAAAAGTCCTATATCTAAGCACTAATAAAGTCATTTTTCTTTTGAAAAATAAAAAAACTTAAGACTGCCACGGTTTAAAATACTTTAAAATATTTTAGCTATAAACTGTCTATATTACACTGAACAATGTTATTTAATAACTAAAGCATTTGTCTTGGAACACTTGGTCATGTAAGAAGTACAAGCTTGACACTGTACTAAAGTAATCCTTATCACTGTAACAGTTGGTGTAGTTGCTAATCTAAACACTGAGGAGGCTGTGAATTTTCTTTGAGTCATTGTTAATTTGCTGCCAGTTCGGAACTTCTTGAGCATGTTAAAGGTCGCTAAATTAGTCTTCTTGTCGCTTAATAATTCTTCTTGTCACTATATTATTCTTCTTGTCGATAATTAGTGAGACCCTCGTTTTTCACTGATTCCCGGATGTCAACTTTGGCACTGTTCGTTTCGGTTTTAACAAAACACTTTTATCGGACCTAATAGATCCAAATTGTTTACCTTACAAAGGGTCTGACATGATATCTATGTCAGATGGTCAGACAATTTTCAACAGCTCTGGTTTTCGATAAATTCCAGATGGATATTGATAGTTTAGGCAGATTTCGGCAATCAATTGTACCAAATGTTCGGCTGAGAAAAAGAAAAAAATCGGATTCCTGAGAAAGCGTTATTATTGACATGTGGCGACTAAGCATAGGTCAGTCGACTTTTCATTGTTATATCAACGACTGAAACGTTCTTAAACGCAACTATAGATTAAAATACCAGCCGAAATAAACGCACACTTTTTCACAAGGATTTTTGAGTAATTCTGGTATGTCAATCGGTTGACTGCTCATAATGCAAAACGCAACTCTATCGTAAATTTTGAAAACTTACAAAAAACACCGTTTGATTCTTTATTGCACAATGTCAATGAGTTACAATAAAACACAGAATATCACAAATAAGATGAAAAAGAATTCCACTTTTCGGGATTTTAATGATGACGTATTTACCCCCACGTAGAAATAAAATTGTTATTGCGTGACACCATTAAAGACACTAGAGCACTGCCTTTAAAAACTGAAGACTGAACGACACAAACCCATCTCTAAATCAGGGGTGATCTCCGGTGTTCTTGGAAAGCAGATATTCATACCCTTCAACATGCGTCACCCGTGGTGCATCACATGGCAAGTACAAATACAATGAACAGTCTCATTTGATTACGGTTTAATAGTTAATCAACCTTATGTTGTACTAGTGCACATGTATTGTTCTTGCACCTGCAGGATTTTCGTTTCTAATCAATAGCTATAGGATTATCGTTATATATTTTGCAATCAAAGTTAGTTATCTTCCAATAAACAAAATGAATACTATGAATAAGTGATAGATAGCATACTTGAACACTTAAATTCGACTGCATAAATCATGATGTTTCAATTTTAGATCAACTGGTCTAAAAGGCCCGTCCATCATCCGTCGTCGTCGTCCGTTAACTTTTACTAAAGTATTCTCCTCTGAAACTACTGGGCCGTTTTAACCAAACTTAGCCACTATCATCATTAGAGTTTATAGTTTAAAAAATGTGTCCGCAGACCCCGCCTACCAACCAACATGGCCGCCATGGCTTAAAATAGAACATAGGGGTAAAATGCAAGTTTTATCTTTAATCTTAAAACGAAAACTTCTGTAAAAAGAGAAAATCTAATGTTGAGAATGTTGAGATCTACCTTGTGTCTCTTTACATCAAATCAAAACTGTCCCACTGCTTCTTGTAGGAGTGATTGCCCTTTAATGACAAATTTTACCAACTTTTCTTTTCATTTTTGCAAAGTATCTTGAAAATTATAACAGATAGAGAAAAACTTTAATTAGCAAAACTTATCAGCAAGACAAGATCTACAAAGAAGTCAACATGGCCGAAATGGTCAGATGACCCTTTATTGCGGTAACTGTCCTTTAATAATGATTTTTACCAATTGTTTGCGTGTTTGCCTTGTATCTTAAAACCACAATAGATAAAGAGAAACACTGTAAAAAGCAAAATTGAGCAAGATCTACAAATAAGTCAAATCATGCCGAAATCTTTAGTAGACTCTTTTTATGAGTGATTGCCCTTAAATGACGATTTATTTTACCCTTTTTTGTGTTTTGTGCAGAAAACAAAGCAGGTCGAGAGAAACTGTGACCAGAAAAAAGGATCAACAAAAAAGATTTTTTTTCATAAATTCTATTCTAGTCTACAATGTTGGAGAGTGTCCATTATTAAAGATGTACACATACCTAGGTTTGCGACACAGGTTCTTTATCGCCTTTCGTTTAAAAACTCCCGCGCTTTTCTTCGGAATTGACATGTGATCGTCCCAAAAAGAGGGCAATGATACCAAAGGAATATCCAAAACTCATAAGTCGAAGAGAAACTGACAAGGCCATGGCAAAAAAAAACGACAAATAGACAAAGAAGTCCACAAACATAGAAAACTAAAGACTTAGCAACACGAAACCAACCAAAAACTAGGAGTAATTAAGTGCTCCGTAAGTGTGAGCTGGTCCTGTTCCACATGTGTCATCCATCATTTTGCTCATGAATCCAAAATTCTCACGGTTGACAGGTCTTTGGAAATTTTACATGTTTTAGGTTATTAAATAGTAAGGTACATCACGATTAGATTGATGAATTGACGGAGATTCATGATAAAAAATTAAAAAATTGCAAAAGATAGAGATATTCAGATAGGAATCATAGACAAAAAAATCGAAGAAAATCACAACAGTATGACCAAACAAATCAAGACGTTGGTGTACATGTAAAACCAAAGGTTGCAACTCCCTCATGCAACGTTTTTATCGTTCTATTAAAGCCTTTTTGTTTTTTATGCTGTCAGAAAGGGAGAAAGGATACCAATGGGGCACTCTAAACCTGAATTCCGCGACGAAAAGCAGAAAATATCATGGACAAAAGAAAAATGCAAACAACAGTTGCAAAATCTTAATTTGAAGAAAAACCAAAGGGGAGCAACACGACCCCACCTAAAATCGGGGTTGAACTCAGATGTTCCGGGAGGGACAGTAGTTACTACTCTACTAGTGACACCTGCCGTAGTACTCCTATTTGAATACGTTAATGATTCATTGTCAGTCATGATACTAATACAATTTTTGAATGGAAAAGTCTCTTATCTATTCCTTATACATAAGAAAATTAATACACCATCGGTAATGTATATTTTACAACACTTACACTTGACCAAATGTGAAACATGATTTTACAGCATGATTACAATTACGAATACTTTATCAAACCAATTATCGGCCAATAAAGTGCATGTTACATATAATGATTACAAATAGACATAAGTAAAAAACAAAAAAAAA